AATATCTCATATGTCGTGTGCTCAATGTTGAGCAGCCCAATATTTAGCCGGTATGAGGTGACTTACTAATCCACAAGACGGTGGCAATAAATAATATCAATCTTAAAGTTTGTGTACTTGTTCCTTAGTATGTCATTATACTCATTAACATATACTATCTCCGTCCCTCAATTAAATTCACAATTAGACTTTCACGGTCTTCAACATCGACGTTTGACCGTTAATATATAAAAATATATACTCCCTCTGTCCCATTTTATAAGATATCTTTACTATTCACTCGGTCAACACAAATCACTCTTAATCTCTTACTTTATATATTAAAATTGGGAAAACTATCAAATAAGCCCCTGTACTATGCCGAAAAAGTCGATTAGGCCCTCGTACTTTACAAACACTCAATTAAGTCCTCGAACTATTAAAAAACTTTCAATTAAGTCCTTTTGGTCGGTAAGTAACCGGTTTCCCGGTTAAACGGCGATGATGTGCTCGAACCCTAGCAACGGCGGCTGCCGGGAAACGGGTTACATTTAACCGGAAAACCGGTTACTTACCGACCGAAAGGGCTTAATTGAACGTTTTTTAATAGTTCGAGGACTTAGTTGGGTGTTTTTAAAGTACAAGGGCCTAATCGACTTTTTCGGTATAGTACGGGGGCTTATTTGATAGTTTTCCCATTAAAATTTTATGAAATTTGTATTATTTTTTTGCAGGTTTTGTAGCGGTTTTAATGTAGTTTCTGGATATGTATTTTTTTTCTTTCTAAAAATAATTTGAGTGCAGACAAGGATTTGTTTGCTTTATCGTCGGTCAAACATCGTAAACCGAAAAGTATCTTATAATTCGGGACGGAGGGAGTACTTATAAAATCTATAATAAACTAACATTTCAATTATATATTAAAATAAAATATTCAAAACTATTTTGATACTATAAGTAATACTATGTGTGATTTTTGAATAATTAACGGTGTTAACAAAGTGACTCAAAAAGTCAAACTGTGAACTTGTTTGAGAACTGGATGGAGTATATTGGGTTGTCTCTATATTTGGCTGATAAGAGATGACATAAATGATAGGTTCCTCAAGATAAAGGCCAGAACTAGGAAGATTTTATCCCAAGACCGAGACCATAAAAGTGACCTAATGTAATTAAAGATTTAATAGACACCGATACCATACTAAGAAATGTGGTTTCATCATATAACTTCTACTAAATAGGAGAGCAGGCCAAGGTCAGCCGGTCTTATATATTTCTATCTCTTAATATTTGTCAAGTGAGTCAACCTAAAATGGGAGTAGGCCAATGCATGGTTTTCTCTCTTTATCTCAGTTTGTCTCTTTATATTTAGCTGGTATAAAATAACTTAACTTGTTTGAGGCTATTTTTTTATTCTGAAAAAGAAGTTTATATATCTTCATTTGCGATGAAGGGAGTAATATTTGTCCATGTAATATTTGTCCAATGAGTTATCTTTCCATGTAATATTTGTCCAATGAGTAATCTTTATGCACGTCTGATTTATTTATCATTTCTGTAGGCAAAACATACCGACTGCGTGTAACTAATGTGGGCATATCAACGAGTTTGAACTTCAGAATCCAAAGCCATAACCTGCTTCTAGCTGAATCAGAGGGATCATACACAGTTCAGCAGAACTATACCAGCTTAGATATCCATGTTGGGCAAACATACTCATTTTTGTTGACCACTGATCAGAATGCAAGTTCTGATTACTACATAGTTGCAAGCGCGAGGTTTGTGAATGAAACTCTATGGAGAAAAGTCACTGGGGTTGCCATTCTGAAGTACACTAATTCAAAGGGGGCGGCTCATGGTCCTCTCCCAGACGCACCACAAGATCAATATGATAAAACCTTCTCTATGAACCAGGCACGATCTATAAGGTCTGTTTCTTCTTCAAACACACTGCATTAATCAACTCATACATCTACTCGTAGTGTTTTATGAAATTCCAGTTGTTCTCATTTTCATATTATATACTGCGTAGTTATGAGATGCAAATCATCAGTTACAACTACTTTATTATTTGTATTATGAATATTTGCCAAGGGTCTGTTTGGATGGAGGGTTTCGGAGGACTTAACTTATATTTAAATAAATAGAATGTTTATATATAAACAGACAATTGGGTTATAAGTAGTATATGATAGCATATTATCATTATTATGTTCATTTTTTATATAAAATTCTAAATACTATCAATGGCTGCCAAACAAACATACTTGAATGGAATTGGTGTAAATATGGATTTTAGTATACAGTTGACTTTATGAGGCTCAGTTTGACAGCCTCGTTTGGCTTATTTTGCTTATCAATAGGACTTGGCTTCTGACTTACTTGTTTGTCAAACGTTTTTACCTCCTGAAAATAAAGCAGATTTCAATCATTTCAGCCAAATAACATTTACCAAATGGGACCTTAGTTCCAACTTCCATGCGACTGAGCCCAACATTGTTGGGATTGCCTTTGCAATCCAACTTGCCAATTTCATATTCTTTTCTTCTAAGGTGAAGTATGTATTGCAAGGCCCTGTTTCATAAACATGCTACTTAATTCCTTAAAAACGATTTTGCCAAACACTTTCTTTTCAGAAAGTTCTTCAAATTCAGCCAAGATGCATTTAGTTCTGTTTATGCACTAATACTTGTGTTTTATTATTTTTATTGTACAGGTGGAATGTGACTGCCAGTGGTGCCCGTCCAAATCCCCAAGGTTCTTTCAGATATGGTTCGATAAATGTGACCGAAGTGTACAGGATAAAGAACAAGCCACCAATAAAGATTAGTGGGAAACAGAGAGCGACAATCAATGGGATTTCATTTGAAGCCCCCAAGACACCAATCAGGCTTGCTGACTGGTTTAAGTTGAAGGGGGTGTACAAGCTTGACTTTCCCACCCAACCACCAGTTGCGGGACTACCTCGTGTAGGGACTTCTGTGATAAATGGTAGTTATAGGGGGTTTATGGAAGTAATACTGCAGAATAATGATACAAAGGTGCACACCTATCATTTGAGTGGATATGCCTTTTTTGTGGTTGGGTAATGATCTAATGACTCCTAAAGCTCCTGTGTGTTTCCTCATGTAACGTTCAACTGCAAACTTGTGAAACCTCTACTTGCTGTTAATACCCCTTCACCTAATACTTTCACAGGATGGATTATGGTGAGTGGACAGAGAATAGCAAGGGAACTTACAACAAGTGGGATGGAATTGCCCGTGCTACAGCCCAGGTAACAGGAAACTTGTGCATGTCCAAATGTCCAATAGCAGTTTGACTTTGTTCTATTCTAAAAGCCCATACCTGCTAGGAGGAATTATCCAATATCGTTACATGTTGGTTCTTAAGGGGGGTGAGAAAGGGAACTTTATTGTATATAGATTGTGGGCATGAATGGAGTAAATGACTTTGAAGGGTTTTTTATGGTATGTAGGTTTACCCGGGGGCATGGACATCAATCTTAATCTCGCTTGATAATGTTGGAATTTGGAACCTGAGAACTGAAAACCTTGATTCTTGGTATCTTGGTCAAGAAACATACATTAGAGTTGTTAATCCAGAGATGACAAACAAGACTGAGATGCCGATCCCAGAAAATGTCCTCTACTGTGGCGCCCTTCAGAGTCGACAGAAGTATGTATATAAACAAACCCCACACACCCGTCACTGAATTTTCACTTTCTGTGTTCATCCTACTTCCAAGATTTTCTTTTCAATCATATTTATGCTTTTTGCATTTTGTTCATTAGGAAACAAGACATATCAGATGCAACTTTGGGCAATGAACGGAAACTGATGGTGCTGATGATATCTGCAATGGTTTCTTTGTTCTTATTATGAGAAGAATCTATCATTGTGATGCATGTTTTGTGTTTGCATGCATGCGGCAGTTCGGCTTTGGTTACTAGTGTTGAGGTTTTGTAATTTTGATTGAAAGATGTATCATTGTATTTTATTTATTGACGTAGTAGTGAATTAATTGTTCATACTATTCTTGTTAGTTGTTACCCTTAACATGTAACCTTCTTACTCCAGTTGTCTTTTATTGCTTCCATTACAACATTCTTTTGTGAGATCAATGCAAGGTGTGAATTTATTGAATGAGCAGTGCACTAATTTCCATTTTCCAGAAAGGGTCATAGCGGTAATCCTTTTTTATTAGTATGGTAGAGTAGTAAAAGGCAATGTTTGCAAAATAGTTGGAAATTGGAATTACGGAGCTGATAATAGTCATGGACCCGGGCCGGGCCGGTTCCGGTTCCGGGCCGGGCCCGGCCGGGCTTTTTTTTGGGAAGGAAGGCCCGGGACCGGCCCGGGTAGCCACCGGGTCCGGGCCGGGCCGGGCCGGGCCTCCGGTTCGGTTATAATTTTTTTTTTTTTTTTTGCTTTCCTAACCCCCCCACTCACCCCCACACCCCCCCCAAACCCCCAAACCCCTCCTAACCATCAAGCCCAACTTGGCTAACCCCAAAAAAAGAAAAAAAAATTAATTCGGCCCGGGCCCGGGCCCGACCCGGCCGGGCCGGTTCGCCAAATTCAAGGCCCGAGCCCGGACCCGGCCACCCCACCGGGCCTAGGCCCGACCCGGACCCGAGAACCGGGCCGGTTCCGGGCTCGCACAGTGGCGGGCCGGGCCGGTCCCGGGCCGGGCGGCCCGAACCGGGTCCATGCCTAGCTGATAATCGAATACAACTGTAATTTTAGCCCTTAATTTTCTTATTTATGGGCAGTTTAATCTAAAAGGCATTGTATCTTTCAATTTAGGGCAGTTTAATCTAACTGTTGAGACTTGAGAAAGGTTTTTAATCAAGTCTTACGGACTTACAGTCTCACCTAGTCACCACTATAACTATAGTACAATATATTTTAGGTTTTTCTCAATTGCATAAACAATGAGCATCTTTCACTTGGATGACTTATAAAAACTAAGAACTCTTATGATGCCTTATTTAGACAAATAAATGTTAGCTTGAATTATTGTTTTATGGTGAAAAGCAAAAACAAAGAAAGCAGATTATCAAAATGATTGTCTAAGATAACCAAATAATAAGTGATGAGCATTTTGATCCAAGGATCATGTCTCTTTCTCACTTGGAGATCTCTGTAGTAGTAATGGAGATGAACCATACTTGCATAGTTATGGTGAAAAGCTATGCAAAATTTACAGAACTTTTGTTTACAGTTTGAGAACATTTACTTGGAGTTGCAAAGTCCAGTGCCTTCATCACATGGTGAAAAAAAACAAAGAAAGCAGATGATCAAAATGATTGTCTAAGATAACCAAATAATAAGTGATGAGCATTTTGGTCCAAGGATCATGTCTCTTTCTCACATGGAGATCTCTGTAGTAGTCATGGAGATGAACCATACTTGCATAGTTGTGGTGAAAAGCTATGCAAAATTTACAGAACTTTTGTTTACAATTTGAGATCAGTTACTTGGAGTTGCAAAGTCCAGTGCCTTCATCACAAAATCCATCGCGATCAAGCAGTTTGGGCGGGGGAGCACTTAGCAAAGGGGAAGATGGGCTGCCATAAGCATTTCTTCGGCCATTGCCACAACCAAGACTTTTTCTGGTGCTAACCCCTGTCACCGGATTTGTCCCACTTGCATACCTACAAAGAGCCTAGACCAACATACCAGCACAGAACAATAACTAGCATAATTTGCTTTGTTTTATGAAAATATGGTAACCATGAACCATCCAAGTTATAAGCCATGGGTATGAGAGATTATCTTAGCGTCTAGGCAAGTAATATGTAAGTTTGGGTATTTATATTTGGTTAGTTTCAGATGACTTTGTGCCATCTTTCAGAGTCTTTTAGTATGTTAAACTACTCTGTGGAACTTGACTCGCTCTGATAGTATTAAGATTTGGGATTTCATTCTAAAATGTATCGGCCAAGAAGAGTAGCTCAAGACATTATACATAACTTTGTAGAATTCTAATTGGCTGGTGTGCAATGAGTTAACAACTAAGCATAGCCCTCCAAGATGTAGACAGATTAAACCAAAGCAGTTTTGAAGTTTGAACGCTCATTCTCTTAGTCATACTTAGACCAGATTAGTGATTTTAGTGGGATCTATTACCATGCTAAAATTTGAGTTTTATCACGACGGCATGAGTCACACTAAGGTCAATGGTAAAACTGAAGTGAGGCATATACTGGCTATACTTACACACACCTGCTTTTGCGGGAGGTCAATAACTGAATCACTAAAATCAGCCCCTTGAATTATGGCACCTGCCAAGTCACTCCTAGTAAGAACTGATCGAACAAGTACAGCATTTGTGAGATTGGCCTCATTCAGAACCTGCTCAGAAAGGTGTTCATAACCCTCTGTGTTTTAAGACCATGTGAATTTGACTAGACTAATAATACAATTTCTGATGTATTGCTTACCATGCGATCCATCAATGTGTCACTCAAATCCGCACCTATCAAAAGATTAATTGTTTACACCAAAGTGACTCAAACTACTTGGAAAAGCTTTCATTAACACCAATATATTTAATTTTCTTCCAAGTGATCCCTCTTTAACATTTCTTGCACTGTCCTTTTTATTAGTATGCTCAACTGTTTTTACTGTGATATGTACCTGTGAAATTAGCTTTGTAAGCAACTGCTTTCTCCAGATATGCCCCATTGAATGTTGATCCGGTAAAATCTGACTCTCTCATGTCAGCAGCTGTGAAATTTGCTCTCCTGTATCAGCAAATTCAACTCATTTATCATTATCCGTAGAGTAGGAGAGCCTTCCATGTCTCCAACACCAGAAAGTATTGCAAGTATATTTTCATAGTTTTCAAGTAGCGCATTTATGTGAGAAATTAGCTTTTCACATACTCCGTATAAATTTTGCAAGATAGAGTTTCAAGTAAAAAAAACCAAGGACATATTTACTTCACATGTTACTAAACAGTGCTTATTAAGACCCACGTTAATAAGCAGCGCATAAAATAAGCAATGTTAAAAGATCATGTTTACTTCAAATGGTTTAAAACACCGTTTCACATTAAAATGTCCAAAATAACCCTATACATATATAGACACAAACATTCATGAACACAAATAGATAATATATTATGTGGGGTCACCTCGACACCTCGTACGTGTACCCATACCCCTAACCCCTACCCGCCCTATACCCCGTACCCCAACCCCTACCCTACACCCTACCCACAAATCCACACACTTGACCCCTACCCCAACCCTTACCATGACCTTACCCTCTACCCCTACTCCCCTACAAACCTTCATACCCACCGATACCCCTAACAACTACTCTACTTGTAGGGGTGAGGTCGGGGTTGAGGTCGAGGGAGGGTCGAGGTAGGGCAAGAGGGTACAGGTGGGGCGGGGTTATGGTCGAGGGTAGGGTGGTTAAGGGCTAGGGGTAGGAGTGGATGTGATGGGGTAGGGTGGGGTCGAGGTAGAGGAAGGTGGTAGGGGGTAAAGGGGTAGGGAAGGTTCGGGCGGGGTGGGGTAAGGGGTATGGTCGGGGGGGTATGGGTCAGGATCGGGGTGTGGCCGAGGTAGGGGCAAGTAGTGGGGTAGGGTCACGGTTAGTGGTAGGGTGGGATCGGGGTCGGGTAGGGGTAGGGGCTGGGGTATGATAGTGAGGTGGGGGTAGGATGTCAGTAGGGTGGGGTCGGGATCGGGGTGGGGCCGAGGTAGGGTTGGTAGGGGTGGAGTAGGGTGATAAGGGGGTGGGGGGTAGAGATGGAGGTAAGGTGGGTTGGGATCGGGGTCAGAGGTAAGGTAGGGGTAGGGTGTGGGTGGGGGTAGGATGGTGGTAGGGTGGGATCGGGATCGGGGGTGGTGCCGAGGTAAGGCATGTGTAGGGTAAGGGGTAAGAGCCTAAGAGGTATAGGGTGGGGAGGGTGGGGTCGAGGTGGTAGTGGGTGGCAGTAGGATGGCAGTAAGGTGGGGTTGGGATTAGGGTGGGGCCGAGGTAGGGGCATGTGGTAGGGGTTGGGCTAGGGTCGTTGTAGGGAAAAGGGGTACGTGGGGGGGGTGGGGTAATGGTCGGGGGTAGGGGTAGGGGTAGGGTAGGGGTAAGGTAGTGGGGTGGGTAGAGGTCGGGGTGGGGTCGGGGTAGTAGGGTAGGCGGGTATAGCGGTAACAATAGGGTAAGAGCAAGGGGTAAGGGTAAATTCGGAAACTAAAAAAGTTTAAAGTGCCGCTTAATTAATACATGGGGTGGTATGCTTAGTAAGCGGCCCTTTAAGCACCTCTTTCGGTTATTAAACAACTTTTTAAACTAAATATTCTGTGTTTAAACTAAAGAAAATATTTGAAGTACTTTTTCAACATCCTAAATTTTGGCCTACCCTCGAAACCCAAAATAATTTTTTAAGATTAACAAACACTTCTTGGTTTCTATCTTTCTTCTAAAAATGATTGGAAATTCATTTCTACCTCCAATGTTAAAAATGATTGGAGTAGAACTTATTTCATTTAAAAGGCTCTTGCAGCCTAAACAAGCCTAACTAATCACCACCGGAATCACTGATTACATGGTTTCACAGATGCTGAGTTCAATTCATAGAAAGCGATATGTAACATACTAAGATTAGCGTAAAATATATTTTTGTGAATTATTTCTCATTATTCATTAAATTGATATTCTATGTTCTTCGTAGCCTGTAGGGAGTAGCGACCCCAGAAAAGGTTCAAAGTTATAATAGAGGAACAGAGAGTTACCTGAAATTCTCTTTCACGTGAACAGCTTTTCTGGATAATAACATAGACATGAAGTTAAAAGATACAAAGCAAGAAACAAGCTGATATAGTGACAGTTTGGTAACTACTTTTTGCTGATCTTCCTTAGTTTTACCAAACCTTATGTTAGATGATTTACTGCGAGCACTACATTGATTAATAGTAATAACGACAATAAAACGAAAGGTGTGATCTACTCTTTCAGATGAATAAAGATGCACATCTCAGCCTCTTTTTTCACACAAAAATTTCATAGTATGATAAAAATATATTATTATACTAAGTCAGCAGTTTCATCAATATTATCAACCACAACTTCGGTCATTTCAGCAATTTGAAACAAAACTGTTACCAAACGGGCACTAAACTATTTGAACACGGTGTAAAACCTAATACGAGAAGGAACCCATCAGCCCATGAAGGTGCATTCTACCTGAGGTCTGCAGAACCAAATTGCGCGGCTGATCCTATCCCGAATTCCCCACGTTGTGCAGCTTCAAACTTGTTGAGATCAGCCATGGCAGACATCTCATTGGGGCCCAATGTGATCACTGCAGCTGCCAATGCAGTTGAGACAATTGCTCTCCAAATCTTTGGCTCTGCACAAGTAATAATGTCATATTGGTTTTCTATCAAGAGACTGAGGGTGCCTTTTCAGCTCATGTTACCAAATTGTCTTCTTAATAGGGCTGAGTTATAAAATACACAGAGACCAGACCAGATCAGACCAAACCAGTTAAGAAAATTCCAGTCTAAGTAAAAACCTCTTTAATCATATCATGACTTTAATGGAGTTCAAGATTTAGTTGGGGTAACTCAAGTGGGGCTATATACTATATCTCGACCATACTAGATTAGAAGATTGAATACAGTCAAAGAATTAGTTACCAATTACTATCGTATGTTGAAATATGAATTTTAGCCCCCTTGGTGTAAATTTTGCAAGCTTTGATCCTTCAATGCTGTGTTTCTGCCTTCGCACTACTTATGATCATTCCCCTTGCTTGATACAGTAAATGTGAAGGAGGTGATTCCCAATACTGAGAGCCTAAATGATTCTTAGTAGTTATGGGAGTATTTTCATGGAATAAGCCTTTGTTATATATATTCATAGAGCATTCATCATCATCATCATCATCATTATCATTACCCCAGTGCCGTAAAGGCTCCAACCTACGGTGGGGTAAGGGGGGGTCGGATGTACGCACTCTTACCTCCGTACTAAAGCATAGAGGGACTGTTTCTGAATGACCCATAGTGAAAATTGCGTCAAAAATTGCATGAACTGACTATTGCTTCACAACAAAGAAGCGCAAACAGTTTAGTGAGCCAATTTGCTTTATTCCATCATATTATCACGTCAAAAAAATGAGTCTTTGGTTCCATTGCAAATGATGGAAAAATATATAAAGTAATTGTCCTATATAGGACTAAAATAGGGGTGAAATGCAAAAATAGGACCCATCATGTTTTCTTCCTCTATTAGGACCAATTTACTCCTATTCTTAAACCTACGAAAATTGGCATCCCAAATTTGCCCCTGCATCCATTTAATTATCTTTCTCTCCTTTTCTATTCATAACCGATCAATACCTTCTCCATGCCAAGAACAGATGTGCCGATACCACCGCATCTCATCATCTCCGTTCAGATCTGTCGATTCCATCACCCGACATCAACGACTCCTCCACACGGTGCCTACACCGCACAGCCTGCGTTGCCCCTGCTTCGCTGCCTTCGCCTTCACTTCGCTGCCTTCACTCTTCACCATCGCTGTGTTTATTTTTCTCCGGATTTTCAGGTTTTTTCACTTTCTTCGTCGTCTTCTTCTTCTTCTTTCTCTTCCTCTTCTCCTTCTCCTTCTCCTTATTCTTCATATTTCAATTTTTCTATTTTGACATGGATTTTGTCAATTTTCTGGATTCACTTTTCGTATATTTTACTTCTGTTTTCTTAGTATTCAAAAAATTGTGATTTTCGGATCATGGCATACGATTTTGCCAAGTTTATGGCAGAAGTATACATCGATAATCGTATTATGGCAAAAAGTTTCATATAAACTGCCTTTTTCATAAACTCTGTATTTGTAATTTCCAATTGTGTTAGTGTTTATCCCATTAAAATTTGGAATTTTTGGTTATTAATTTTACATTTTTGCCAAATATATGGCAGTTTGTGTTGTCATTCCAAGATAAATCTTCCAAATCTCTGACAGATTTGAAATCATGGTTCATGCCATGTTTCAAATGAATCTCCAACTGTGTTAGTGTTTATTCCATTGAAATTTGGAATTTTTGGTTATTAATTTCACGTTTTTGCCAAATATATGGCAGTTTGTGTTTTCATTCCAACATAAAACTGCCAAATCTCTAGCAGATTTGAAATCCTGGTTCATGGCAGATTTGGGCCGGAGTAGTGACGGCGGCGGTGGTGGCGGCTCTGAAGTTGACACCTGTAGCGGTCAGAGGATGGTGGTGACGACGGCGGCGGATGACGATACTGGTGTGGGAGGCATCGACAGGCGGTGGCAAGGGCTGTGGCAAGCGGCCGCGGGTGGGAACATTGTCGAGGGTGGCTGAACTGCTCGTATGAAATTCAGGGTTTTGTTAAATTGTAATTGTACATTTTTAATTTTTAATTAAAAAAAAAAACTGAATGAGGGGCATTTTTGTACAAACAAGTGGATTTTAAGTCCTACATAACATACATTTCTTTCTTGGTCCTATTTGTGCACTCTAAACTTCTTTTAGTCCTAAACGGGTCATTAACTCAAATATATATTCATAGAGCATAGTAATATAATAAAATTGCACATTAACTAGGATGGCTTATAGTAAAAAAAGCTAGGATGGCGTGACATAATGTAATATATATGAGCCATGCCTTTCAATTTTAAACACCATTAAAATCACAGTCGGCTTCCATAAATACTCTGTATTGCGCAATACTTCTGTCCCAATTTGAATATCTTATTCACTATTCCGCGATCACTCCAACCCTATTCTAACCTCTAGATTGATGTATCAAATATTTATCATATTCAAATTTGGTTTTTGCAATCTAATAGAACATTCGGTGTAGTTTCGAAATATGTAAATATTTTTTTTTGTCACGGGAGGTACACCTAAGTCGGTAGTCGGTGGGGCAAACGCCGGGAACATTTGCCAGCTTTATAAGAAACATATGTAAACAATATTAAGTATTAGTATTTGAATAATATTTGAAGATTTTAAATTTTAACTTCTACTCCCTCCGTATTTAAAAGTTCCATACACTTTCCTTTTTAGGATGCATTTAAAAGCTCTCTACACTTTCCCTTTTTGATAAGTTTTTCCTTTAAAAATACTCAATTACCCTTACTTTTTCTACTTTTTATCCTCTTTTTCCTACTTTTTCACCTTCTCTCCTACTTTTTTTATGCTATTGATTACCCCCACTATTCTACCTTAAATCATGTGTCATAACCAAACGTAGCGATCTTTTAAATACAGAGGGAGTATTTAAAATAGGACATTTTAGTAAATTTATATATGACCCATCCCCTTCCCTCACCTACAAATTTATTTTATTATAAGTAAAATTATTTTATTACTTTTATGTTTAATTATTAAAGGTGAAGTTTTTTATTTTTAAGCTTTCATCTTCTGATATAGTGCTACGTAATTCAAATATGAGTGTGTTTGGTTGGATGTAAAAAGTGATTACTTGTATGTGAAGTGGAGGGACGTAAAAGAATTAAAGATTTAAATGAAATCATTTCACGCATAAAGATTTAATGTGAAAACTATCAAACGAGCCCTATGACAGCAATCTGGCCAGGTTCTGAGATACTAAAACTACCTCACAAAAAAAGAAATTGACATTAGATCATATCTACAGGGGCAAAATTTTACAAAAAAGAATGTCTACTGTGGCCGTGCAATGGGGGTAGCTAGAGGTGCCAACTCTGACCTCTGGGTCCACTCCAAATTTTAAAAATATCTATATTTTTTAGTGTAATAATTTCCATATATTTTTTGTCAAAAAAATTCCTGAGCCCAATGCTCTGCTCCGGCCTAGTGCATGCTTTATTTGGACTGGAATTTTCTGTTAGTCTGGTAAATGTCTAGTTTCTGTGTATTTATTACGTATAACTATTCAAGTCTGACCTGTTTAGATTTGGCCTTAGTTTTTGCATTATTTAATTCGGACAACTAAATAACAGACGTTCTAGATAAAGAAAAGAGAAGATGAAGAAATATTGACCACAGAAAAAAGATAAGCCAAACCAAACTGAACTTACCTTTCCCCACAGCCAAACCAAGCGGAGAAATGCTCGAAGGAGATTGAAAGGCAACGACAGGAGGCTTAAGTAGAGAAGAAGACGAAGAAGAGATATCCTTGGATTTTATAGGTATCATTAAAGAGACTGAATTCAGTGCCATTTCTGTGGGGCTTATTCTTGAAATAGGAGTATCTTCTGTGAACGGAAGTGCAGGTTATCAGAGAAGAACCAGTTTTTTTAAATCCCAAGAGTGGATATAGCAAAAATTTAAAGAACCATATGACTCCATGTGACCCCACTATAAAAAATAAAGGAAAAAGGGTCAAATACACTCTCCTACTATATCAAATAGATCACTTCAACCCTTCTATTAAAAAAACATCATATTAATACACTTACCATTAAAAAAGCATCAATTGGGTCATCTTACCTGATTACGGGAGTGTTTGTCGATTGCTTGAGCTTTTTAAAAGTGATTTTATAAGAGATTATTGCAAAAGCGATTTGTAGTAAAAGTATGTAGTGTTTGGGAATAGAAGTGGTTTTAATTAAAATGTAAAAGTTGGAGTGTTGTGATGTACTACGTAATATTTTTGTGAAAAGTACAAAAATAACCTTGGAATACATACGGACATAACTTCCCCGGCTACTCAAGGGATTTCCAGTCCGCCGCATTTTGTTGCTCTTATCTCTGCTTAACTCCCTTTTCTTGTCTAATATATCGAGTATGTCGTTTGTATATGGTTATTGGAGCTTCCGTTTGTATCTCTGTTTGCTCTTATCTTTGCTACTCGGGTTTCAGTTTGTATATTTGGTCTTAGGGAAGGAACATATATGGTTATTGAAGCTTCCGTTTATTACCTTAAGAATTTTCACTACCTACTCTTTGAGAATGGAACGAGTTATTAGAGCGACGACACATGAAGATGACGATGGAGAGAACGGATGTCGAGGGGCGACGAGGGCTGGCAGATGAGTGATAATTACTTCAGGGTATTTTGTGGGGTTTGAGAATTTGTTGTCATTACTATTACTCATAAAGTTGGAGTTAATTACAAGTATACCAAGAAGCTATTAGAAAAAAAAAATTAGGATTACCAAGAAGCTATTAGAAGCTTGTATATATGCTCTAGCTTTTAGATTTTGACTTTAAAGCACTTTATTTTAAGCAAAAATTAGGATTATCAAACACTTTTTTTTATTTGTTTTTAATCTAAAAGCTCAAAAGCACTTTTTTTAAGCAAAGGAAAACACTCCTTACAACTCTCTAGACTATAGCATGTTATCGGTTGATTTGATATATGTTTTCCAATTTTTATTTACTTTTTTCATTTTCTTTGGCATCTTATGTAGTACACAGTTCGTACTTTACACTCCCCTATATACGAATTCCCAACTTTATGGCTGTTTTACTCTTGCTTCGTTTGTGTTTTCTTCGTTTCATTTTCTTTCATTTTAGTTTTTACTCGGTATTTGTTTGTCTTCAACTATAAGGGCAGTTTTGTAATATAAAAATTTGTCTCCCTTGTTTTACATTACTTATCTTATTTAAATAAAATAAAATCGTAAAAGTAGAATCAAAAATTCTTTTTTTTTTATTTTTATGACATTTCCTTAATATATACTCCCGTTATATTATTTTCTTTTTTATATTTTTCCACTTTCTCTTTTAATATATCTACATTAATCATTAATCTTCCTACTTTTCTGTAAATATTGTGTGTACCCTAACTTTATACATAAAAAATGTTGGTTGGGAAGATTATGATAAATGTGTCCAAAAATAGAACTTTAAATCTCGTCTGAAACATTTTTTGTCCATACCAGACATTTATTGTTTATAAAAGTGATTTTTTTGCTAATATTTTTTATGTGACATAACTTTCACTCAAAAACTTATTTGTGCAAAAAACTTTCAAAATGTTTAAAATTAAAAAATACTGAGTATACATTTTTGTCTTTGTCAGGCATTAATGTCCGTAAAATTAGATTTGTCAAAAATTCTGATAGAATTTTTAGTCTATAAAATGGATGTAAAAGTGAATTTTTTTTATCTATACTTTTTTTTCTATATCCTAACTTTACGAAAAATGTCAGTGAGAAAGATTTTGACAAATGTGTACAAAAAAATATAACTTAAAATCCAGTTAGAAACATATTTTGTCTGTACCAGATGTGTTTACATATGCAAGTTAGTGGTGTTTACCTCACACCACTTCAAAGTTTTGGGTATTTTTATTATTTTTCCCTATTTTTAAAATTGAATGTATCTGATTGACATTTTTGTGTTTATAGACTAACTTATAGACAAAATTTATTTGTGAAAATGATTTTTAAAATGTGAATAAAAATTATACAATATTTTTGCCTTGTTTGACGCCCAGGTGCAAGAATTGCAACAGGAGCCACGCCGGGAAGTGTCGTGATCCACCACGGTGCTACCAATGCGGGAGTACAGGGCATATTAAACCAAATTGCCCTCAACTTGGTGGGAACCGAGTGGCGGGATCGAGTGGCGCTACTACGGCGAGTAGGAACCGAACTGGGGCACCTCATGCTAGTACGCGGCAAGGGGGGGCGAGCACGAGCAACGCGCCATCTGTGAATCAGGGGAGGTCTCAAGCACGGGTCTATGCGATGACCGAGACTGACGCTCAGGCTAATCCCGACTCCGTTGCAGGTAATCCTTTGTAATGATTGATAAATTACATGTTTTCGAGTGCTACGAATGATAGCGGGTTTGTACGGGCTCGCCGGGGCCAATACCGGCCGGTTTCGTAGCAATAAGTTGCAAAAAATAAGCTGCCCAGGGGTAAACCGGCGCCGGTCAAGGCTTAAACCGGCGCCGGTTCTAATTAAAAACCCTCGTTTTGAGGTTGCCGTAGGTAAACCGGCGCCGGTTTTGGCCCATAACCGGCGCCGGCCATGGATCGGGGAGGCTTAGCTAATTAAAAAATTGATTTCCGGGGGACGCCGTAGCTTGCCCATAACCGGCGCTGGTCTAGGAGAAAAGGGGGTCAGGAAAATCACCGTGCTTGTAACCGGGGCCGGTTTTGAAGAAAAACATTTTTTCGAAGTTGCTGAAGGTAAACCGGCGCCGGTTTTGGCCATAACCGGCGCCGGTCCAGTTCAAATTGCGTGTATCCGGTCATCCCGAAGGCAAACCGGTGCCGGTCTTGCCTAGAACCGGCGCCGGTTCAGTGTATTGTTACCCGAAAAATTTTCGTTAAGCCCCGTTTCGATCCGGTACGTTGGCTAGTGTGTCTTACATGACTTATATATGTAGGAACATTAAAGATCAACGGTAGAAATGCAAGAATTCTCATTGATACCAGGGCACAACGTTCATTCGTGAGTGAAGCGTTTGCCGAAAGTTTAGATGTGCCGTTGATAGTAATGACACAACCCTTGTTGGTCTCTACACCGTTGGGAGACGATGTGGAGAGGAAACACTACTATCCTTCGTGTGAGGTAGAAGTGACGGGTCAACCTTTGACTTGTGACTTCGTACCTCTAAGTATGTTAGAATTCGATGCAATTCTAGGGATGGATTGGCTCGAGAAACATCATGCTCGAGTGGATTGTTATGCCAAGGTTTTAGAACTCGAGGATGCTGAGGGAAACACTCTACGTTTCGAGGGAGATCGGGGAGGATCTCATAGTTGTATAATATCCGTGATGAGGGCACGGAAGATGATGAGGAAGGGATGCCATGCATACCTTGCTTATGTGGTGGATGAAGCAAGGAAGGAGGTTGACATCAACGATGTACGTGTCGTGTGCAAATATCCGGATGTCTTTCCCAAAGACTTGCTGGGGCTTCCACCCGACAGGGAGATCGAATTCGTGATTGAAGTGGAGCCGTGAACCAAACCCATATCGATTCCTCCTTATCGAATGGCACCGGTCAAGCTTCAAGAGTTGAAGGTTCAACTTCAAGAGCTATTGGACAACGGGTTCATTAGACCCAGTCATTCACCGTGGGGAGCAGCCGTACTCTTCGTAAAGAAGAAAGATGGTACACTAAGAATGTGTATAGACTACCGACAGTTGAACAAGGTCACGATCAAGAATAGGTATCCTTTACCGAGGATTGATGACTTGTTTGATCAACTTCGAGGGGCTATGGTATTCTCGAAGATTGATTTAAGGTCGGCGTATCATCAGTTGAAGATAAAGGAGATCGACATACCTAAGAGTGCATTTTGCACTAGATATGGTCACTACGAGTTTTTGGTGATGTCATTTGGTCTAACCAATGCACCGGCGGCGTTCATGGACATGATGAACCGAGTGTTTATTGAACACTTAGATCAATTTGTGATTGTATTCATTGACGATATTCTAGTATACTCCAAAGGTGAAGAGGAGCACGAAGACCATTTGAGACTTGTACTCGAACGGCTAAGGGAAAAACAACTCTTTGCAAAGTTCTCTAAATGCGAGTTTTGGCTCAAAGAGATTGGGTTTCTCGGGCATGTCGTGTCGGGTTCGGGCATTGCAGTGGATAAAGCCAAGATAGCAGCCATTACGAATTGGGAGAGACCCCAAAATGTGAAAGAGATACGTAGTTTCCTTGGCTTTGCGGGATACTATCGTAAGTTTGTTGAAAAATTTTCTGTATTGGCGTCTCCATTTACAAAGCTCACAAAGAAAGGGGCCAAGTTCAAATGGGACGACAATTGTGAGAAAGGGTTTCTTGAACTAAAGAAACGGCTTACAGAAGCACCAGTTCTCGCTCTACCCACACTAGGGATAGGGTATGACATATACAGTGACGCTAGCATCCAAGGGCTTGGATGTGTACTAATGCAAAACGGTCGGGTGATTGCCTATGCTTCTAGGCAATTGAAGAAACACGAGGCCAACTACCCTACCCACGATCTAGAGTTGGGGGCGGTAGTGTTTGCACTGAAGATTTGGAGGCATTACCTCTATGGGGAGACATGTCACATTTTTACCGATCATAAGAGCTTGAAGTACGTATTCACTCAGAAAGAGTTGAATATGAGGCAAAGGAGATGGATGGAGTTGATCAAGGACTATGACTTGATCATCGACTATCATCCCGGTAAGGCCAATGTAGTGGCCGATGCACTGAGCAGGAAGAGTACGTCAGGCACATTACTCACATGTCTACGAACTTTGAGGGCACAGGTGGAGGTGTCCACGAGTGGTGTCCTCATCGCTCTACGGTCTTTTATTGTTTAAAGACCGTGTATGCATACCAAAGAGTGAAGAGCTCCAAAAGTCTATACTAGAGGAGGCTCATTCTTCGCATATGCTATGCATCCAGGAGGTACTAAAATGTACCGAGACTTGAAGGAAAGTTACAGGTGGTCGGGTATGAA